AAGACACAAACTGAATATAAATTTGCAAACGAGCAAGCTGAGAAAGAAATTAGAGTTGGCAAGTGGGAATACGTAGAAGAACAGACACCTACTGCAGGAAAAGCCGCAACGAAAGGAGATATAAACAAACTATATGATAAAACCAAGAACGTTGCAGGTGAATGTAGCAAACCAGAGCTAACTAAGCCATCAACTAAATAAAGTGGTGAAGTCCCGCGACTATATAGCATAGTATTTGTGACACTGAGGCCGTATATATAGAAAACAGTAAACATTTCCCTTGTTCAGTGCAGAAAAATTTGGGAGGGACAATAAGAGGTTGAAAAAAAATACCTTATCAAGATAATCAGGGAAATCTAAGTATTAAAATCATTAAATGATCTCAAATTGATATCACTATATAGAGTCTTCAGCACTACTGCCTAACCGAATTAACATTTCAGTATATGACAAATTTTGCTATCAGTAAGCTGGATTTCATGTTCCGACCAAACTGTAACGTCACGGGCCACTGTTACGCAGTCGAAAGGTCCTGATTCATCTCCATATCAACTTGGCTGATTATGAAGAAGCATTGACAGCACGGATAGAAACTATTCAGCAACTATCAGCATGAATTTAATGAAGAGCATACACTTTCTGAACAAGTATGATTTCTTAATTGGCTTAAACCAAAAATTGGGGAAAACGTTGTTAATAGAGTGCAGCATGAACTTTATGCGAGATCAGCGAACAGATGAAAATAATTTAATGTTACCATATTGCTCACTGCATGTCTCATTTCAACAACTGATTGTATGAGTGCAAATCTGTGACAATAACCATTGAGGTGATACAAATACTTCACATAGTCCACTTTAGTTTGATAAATAGAACACCTCTATATTAAATAAGTCAAAAAGTAGTTCGAGTTCAACATCAAATTGCTTAATAAGTTATGATGATAACAGATTTTTTTGACATGCCATTTTTATTGACATGATCAATAATACACAACAAAGGTTTACAGATATAGTACCATAAATGTAGAGTTATCAAAAATATCACACCAGTAAGCCAAGAAAAGTTTGTCAGTAAGTGTTCATTTGAGTATTAAACAGATTATTGCGAAGAAACTATTAGATAAATTTGACGTTGTTATAAAGTAAAAAGAATAGGGTACCTGGTAAAAGCTGACACCACGTCAAATGTGCACTTCAGGTGTGTGTTTCATATTCAAGTAGAAGTGCATTAGCTGTGTGCTACAGACATGGCGCTGATAAAAATAAAAGATAGGCAGTAAGGTTAGTGGATTAAAATCCTCAACAATCCTCGAATGTCTACAGTACAACAAAAAATGTTACATCAAATCAACATTTGAGATTCACATAGTCTACTTAAATTGGAACCATTTGCAATCAAGTTACTTGTGAATAAATTGTGGTAACAATAAGGAATAAATTGTGAAAAGATTGAATGGACTTGAACAATAAAAGGAAAGCCGAAATAATGCTGGAAAGACTTAGTTAAATTCGAAAATGTAACAAAAGGACACGAAGTTGTATTGTAATTATTGACAAGTTTCATTGAGATTATAAACCGGTCAATGATGGATCACCATGAAAAACCTGGAGGCACTGGATGACCGTTTCGTCCCGGTATAGGACTCCTCAAAGGTGCGCATCCACGAATCCTCACAAGGCAGTAGAACCCCGGACCCCTGGTCTCGCGAGCGAATGCTAACTTCTAGACCACTGAGTCCGCGTCTGAATGTGTTAAGGTCTAACCCCTGTCAATCCACAATATTGAGAACCCACCTTCCATTGTCTTCGGTAGGAAACCCGCTCACGTTTGATAAAGGGAAACTCCATTATTCACGGCCTCTCTTCAAAACTCCGCGTAATCATGAATGTGCACTACTGAGGAGTCTCATAATGGGACAAAATGGCTATCCAGTTCCTCTAGGCTTTCGATGGTGGCATGTGACTGATCCGTTCGCTACCTCAGTAAACAAGAACGTTGTGTTTTTAAACGCTTATAACGTCACAATTCTATGATTTATTATCTTTTTTCCGCCGTTCTACTTTTTATCAAACTACGACCCTCCATTCACCGCTCAAGAGCCTGAATTATCAGATAACAAGCTACTTTGATATAATAGCACACACAACAATAAATTAGAAACAGGAAACTAAGAAATAAGAAGCATATGAAAGAAATCTCAATATCACCGAATGGTCTTCACATCTCCACTCATCGAGTCAGAGACAAATAAAATTTTCCAACCTGAATACTTTGGTTCCATTATCAGTGTCTGCTAGCCAATGACTTGACTCTACTTCTTTTTGTAGTGTTAGACTCAAATATGCCACTAGTATTCGGAGTGTGACAACACTTTAACTAGTAACACCTTTTATAATAGAAACGTGCCAACCCAGTCAAATCAAAAGTAAAAAGCGAAGGTGGTTGAATATAATATTGATAGGCAATTGATATATCGAGAATTGATCAATCTAAGCTAGCTAACAGTCGCAAAAGATGTGGGGCATGGCATACACAGTCGTGATCTGATACGGCTGCATGACCGAGTGCCTCCAGCTAGGTGAGTCCATTAAAATCAATGCAGCCAGCATCAAATATCGAAGACTTACAGAGCTATTGATCTTGTGGATTCAATCACCACTACGGACTATTTAAAAGTGATTTTTCGAACAAAGGCTGTCCTATTATAAGTTCTACATTTTATATCCTGTTACACAACGCTGTTTCCATAACTATCAGGTTATAACCATATTGCGCAACTACGAATTAATAACCATGATCAGTGCTTCGATACAATATCATATATTACAAAATATTATGTACGTTTTTCCAAATAAGCGTTAGGAAAGAATAGAGATGGGGGCCTATTAAAGTAGGCAGAACAGTGAAAGCATACAGTACTCACAAATAATGGAATGAGTAATGAAATAAAATTAATGACAAGTTAAAATATATATATACATATATATACAAACTGATAAGGAATAGTTTATAAAGAGTTCATTTTGGCTTGCAATCAATAGTGTTTTAGAGAGACCAATTCAGTGATCATTTTCTAAATCAATTAATACGAGACTACTGGTAGTCAAGCACTGTATTTTGAGCTCTGAGCAGTGAATCATTAAGATATGTATTTATTCTAAATAGTTATGAAAAGAGATATGTAGTAATTAATGAGAGAAGGTATACAATGCTTAAACTGGAAAATGTAGATTATAAACTGCATAGCCTACTATGAAAATGCAGTCCTGAGTAAGACAGAATTAGGCTTCTAGACGTTCACCAATTTACAAGGTTCGATTTAAGGTGGCTTAACCAATATGTATACGTATATGTATATATAATGGGAATTTTTCAGCAATATCCTGATCCGTTTATAATGCACCAAGGAGTTGAGAGAATTTTTACATGACGAAATGAGGGAACAGTGGAAAGCAAGCGTAATGAAGGCACTTATAACTCAAGATATTTTAAATTAGGAGAGAAATTCACTTATTGATTGGGATTTTTAGTCGTCTGTGAGTACGATGATAAAATAAAAACTTCATATATCGCTAAACAAAAGAGCTATGAATGAGGAGTATAGATGTACGTTATCAAGTATTAGATGTTTAATCGACCACAGAGCGTGTCAAGACACTTATTGGTGAAAATCTCATTGCTGAACTCAATGAACTCATTGCCACTGGTTGTCGAATAAAACCAAATAGGTTACCCAATTTTTTTGTTTTTAATAGTATGGTGTGGCTTGGAGTCGAGTCGCGGTTGACTATGATCACCATTAAAAGGTTGCGTACCAGATATCAGAAAGCGATTAAAGGTTGTAGCGAGATATATTTGTTGGCGATCTCGTGGTATCCAAAGAATACCGAGATCGTGTCAAAGGAGTACAAGTGGAATCACTGAACAAACGTAAGTTCGTGCAAGATCACAATCAAAGGAAGGAAGAATGTCTTAAGTACAGTTAAACAAACAAGTATAGTAAAACAATCCGTGGTATAATTGGTTATACTAATAATTTTTTTCATTAAACCAATCGCGTTCTCTTGGTAAAAGTAGGTCACTACTGTAGCGGTAAATAAATCTCCAAAATAAACAGCTCTGTAAGTTTTCGACATTAGATTCTGAACATATGTTTTAGTGGACTCATCTAGCTGAAGGCGCTCGGTCATGCATCAGCACCAGATCACGTGTGGTAACGCTGTGCTCAACATCTACCGCAATCGCTAGCCAGATTAGATCAGAGAATTCCGATATATTGTTTATCTCCAAATACACTCTTCCGATCTCCTCGACTCTGTCTTTTGATTTCTCTCGGTGGGAACAAATTATATTAGAAAATGTTACTGGTAAAAGCGTTTTCAAACACTGAATACCTGTGTAATCTTCACTGCGATGGTTGTTAAGCCTAAAGGCTGAGCAGCTTCGATTAAGCGTAAATGTTGATTCATTGTTACGGATCAGGCGTTCCGAAGGAGATTAAGTGCTGAGGTCGTCTACTGAGATTGTGTTAAACCATTTGTTATTCCGCATACACTTGTAAGAATAGCCTGTGGTACATTTTCACGAATGAAACATCAAAAACATCCTCTTACTTGACTCTTTAACGAGGACAGATTACAGTATCGGTACAACACAAATCACGATCCATATTATATTCATTATAATAGTCATCATTTTGAAGTTAGTAGTGTCACAAGTCTTTCTACTTCAACCATTTTCTCCCCAAATATTCAGGAATTCCACTGCTACCGCCTGGTACTAAGGTGGATAGAGAGTTCGCATGACGAATTTAGGTTCTTGAAAAAAAACAGTAGTTGGTATTTCCCTGATACTCAAGTATAGCCACTCATGGTTCTACTAGAATAAGGCTTTCATTAAGTTGTTGTAGACGACCTAGCAACGTACACGACAAATGATTACATAAATTTCGTGGCTAACGATCAATGTGATACGCGCTCATATTGAGGTGTAACTAACACAAATACCCGGGAGTTATGAAATATTGACCGTCAAGGTTGAGGGGCCTGATTTGCGTTCTATTTCCAGGTAAAAGTGGCTGCATTGTTTAGTTTATTTGTAACTTGATCACATATAAAAAATAACTATCTTTTATTTCGGCCTTCATACTTACAGTAATAACCTTTTGAAGAAACCATAATTTATGAACGCCCTTTGAGCAGCGCTAAAATGACCTTGAAAATATCCATCTACGAAGTAGGACTAAATGAGGGGTATAATGCAGTGTGAGGAGTTGTAATTATGATTTACAGTTGATAGTTAAAGTTAGGAATTAGATTAAGGTTTTTCATTACGAAATTACACCACATGTGATGCCGAAACACTTTTTATCCAAATGATTCAACTCTCTTTATTTTGAGAGTTTTCCTCAATGTTTGGGGAAATCGGGAAGTTTTGTGCCATATCTCCAAAATTTTCTATGGCGGCTTCCCCGAAATTGGAAGATTGTGAACGTATGAGTTTTCCGCCAAAATATTCGACCTGTTATCTTAAATCTGATTGGTTCGTCCACAAATCATAGTCTCGCCATCCTTTTTCCGAACAAAGAAGGACCTCAACAGTCAATTTAGAATTCGCTAGTTTCATGTTACACACTACTTTCGCCCTGCCTTTTTAATCACCTTATAATTTCGTATCTTCAGTTATACCTCTGAATTATCAGAATTTTAAGCACATATACTTTATCCATTCTCTACCCATGAATTGTTTTTGTCCCATTTGACCTCACTTAGGTGAGTTTGAGCCTCCCTATTTGTTAAATTAATTACATGCAGTTGAAAAATTCAAGTGTATTTTGGTATGGTAATAGCTTCCAATCACAACCCAACACCTAGGTTAGTTTAGAGACATTTTGAATGACGATCTCCTCTAATGCACAAATTTTAGTAGATCTAAAGACGTAGTATGTTGATGATAGATTCTCCGTAATAGACAGTTTACTAGTGAATATATTGCCTCTCGCCGGCGTAACTTTACCTAGACATCTCATTGTTGCAATGACGTTATCTAAATCTTATTGAAGCCTAAGACCTTGATCTTTTCAAAAAGATTCACCCAACTTGTGTAAGTAAATTTTCCCGTAGTTAATTTTGTTGACTCATATTTGCAAGTCTTGCTATATGCGTAACGTGGGCTGCATTTTTTCCAGTCTTAAGGTGTAGTTCACCAATCTGTACTATGAAATTCTTTTGTCAGGGTTATTTAATGACTCACTATTACCTAGTTGATGGTACATATTCAAAATGGCATTACAAAATTGAGCAACTGTCTATTCAAGTACTATTCACTTATACTCTCTGTTGTACTTAACAATCAAACTGTCTTAAATGAATCTAAGATGGAAAATCAATTTACAAAATCAACCGTTGGTTTGAGCAGTGTTTATAGTTACCGACTACCTTGGGGTTCACGCAATCCTGGTTAATATGACAATGTCATAGAGGCACCTTTGTATTTTTCCCCTTAAATTCCATTAAATTTGAATCCTCTGCATTCTCTCATAAGTTGCTTCTTTTTGGCCATATTTATACTTACTACTTCTCGTTATCATTAATCCTATTATTTTGACTTCTTTACTATAAATTTTTCCACTGGATTACCAATTGTTCTAAATGATTTACAATTCATAAAACTTTGTTATACATATTGTCAGATATTTGTGCGATATTCAGACCAATACGTACTTCCTGCTAGTTACTTCAAATTCATTTATGAATAGTTAATTTCTCTTGTCATACGTCAAAAAATTTGATGAGTGGATTTTGGTTGTAGTTTCACTTCTTTACTATTAGTATAACATATTAGTAAAATAAACCTTATAACATCGGCTTGTTATGAATCTGCTTACTGTGTTGTTTTATGCTGAAACCAACACTGCATGAAGTTATTTATTTTCATTTGGGAATATCTTCGTTCTGTATTTTTGTTGTCCTAGTAATATAGGATAGCAATGACAAGGGGTAGGAAGTCCTTGCTTTCTGGTATGAAACTGTCCTACACTTGTGAATGGCCAAACTGCTGTAATACATACAATAACGAAAATTTACTCAAATATCACCAGCTGCAACACTTTAGAGTAAGTTTTATAAGTAATTGTTGCCTTACAATTATTGTCATAATTCAGTCTGATGAGTTTACTCAACCATAATCCATCATTCGCTTTGATTATTTGAGACAATATATCTAAAGACAGCTTATCAAACTACAACTTGTGCAGTTTTCTGCATCTTTATAGTAAGTGTGTAAGGTATAAATCAAAGCCATACATTTGCGTCTTGTATAAATACTTTTGTCTCCTTTCAGTACGATGTATTATTTCCAAGGGTAATTTTACTTCTGTTTTTAAGGTCGTTTGTTAACCAGAAAATGTGTTCCTTGTATCTAGTTACTTGAACTACTTTGTATTCCTAATGCTTGACTTATCTACACTAATCATCAAATTTCACTTTTGAACATTTTTTTATTTGACCAACTGAATTTTGATTTAAAACTAGCCTCTCACTCCATTTTGTGTTTTTAGGAACTATGTGAGCAACCTTCGCAAGGTTCACGTCTTCCTGTCTGTGGCATATGTAACGCCTCCTTAAATATAACTGATGTTGATGGGATTGAAAGGCATTCGTTTTTTCATTCATGGGTTAACCAACTGAAAGCTATTGGGAAACATATTTTGGAAATAAATGACTGGCCTGTATGTCTATCCGACTCAGTATCATGCAATTTGATCCCCGAACTTCCAACCAAATTCGAGTGTGGTTGGGAATATTGTGATTTTAAGACCAACGATGTTTGTGTATTTATTACTCATGTATCAAGACACCCAGAGGTACTATTTTCTATTCAGCAGACTATTTTCGTATGCTTTTTGTTTGTATTTTCTGTACAATTTTCTTATAATTATCTATTGTACTTCTATTTCTATTTCATAAAACTTTCTACAACTGCTCATGATATTCAGTTTATATATTTCCTAAAATTGACGATCAGTTAAAAAAGATTAACTGAGAGTGCTACGAATTTTTCAATATTTTTACTTCACAGTGACTCAGTCATAAATAGTGCATACCCTAAGACAAATGTGTCTCGGCTTATGTTACTACATAATAATATACCAAGTGAAGTTGGTTGTAGTGTTCATAGTAATAAAAAGAATCAAACATAATGAATATAGCTCAAAGAGAAGAAGCAAATTTGTGTAGTAGAAAGTCTGAAGTTATGTCTAAAAATCCATAAGATGATCAAGAATAAATCCATCCACGTAACTTCTATCGTTTCCCAAACGTGTCATCTCAAGTCTCCACATCAATTACACTTATCATACAAACTCCACTCCACATGGTTCAGTACAACGGTCAGTGGCTTGATGAATTGTTCTTACCCTTTGATTTGGCTACCAGTAGCTTTGGTCCAACTTAGTCCTTCGCTAGTCACCATTACTCTTCGACTTAATCAGTAGTTGACCATGTATGATACTCTCATCCTCACAATATAATCTTATTTGATCTATTTTTTGTCATGATCTGTATGTATGTGTGTGTATGTCCTATTCATTTCCATCGTCTTTTCCTAATTTCTTCAGCTGGAAGCTGGTTGGTTCTCTCCCACAGAAGGCTGTTGCTGATGGTATCCGGCCAATGGATGTTGAGTATCTTGCGTAGACAACCATTTATAAATACTTGTACCTTTTTGATGTTGGTTGTTGTAGTTCTCGAAGTTTCAGCTCCGTACAGTAGAACTGCCTTGACGTTGGTATTGAAGATTGTGACTTTGATATTGGTTGACAGCTGTTTTGAGTTCCATATGTTCTTCAATTGTAGGAATGCGGCCCTTGCTTTACCGATCCTCACCTTTACGTCTCCATCTGAACCTCCTTGTTCATCGATGATGCTTCCCACGTATGTGAAGGATTCTACATCTTCCATAAATTCGCCATCAAGTGTGATTGAGTTAGTGTTCTCCGTGTTGTATTTGAGGATATTGGTTTCCCCCTTGTGTATATTGAGGCATACTGATGCAGAGACTGCTGCCATACTGGCTGTCTTTATCTGCATTTGTTCATGTGTATGTGATAGGTGGGCTAGGTCATCTATGAAATCCAAATCATCCAAGTAGTTCTGAGCTGTCCATTGTATGCCGTGTTTTCCCTCAGATGTTGAGGTCTTCATAATCCAGTCGACCATCAGAAGAAAGATGAAGGGAGAGAGTAGACAGCCTTGTCTGACTCCGGTCCTTACTTGGAATGCATCTGTCAGCTGTCCTCCATGCACTACTTTGCATTGTAGTCCGTCGTATGAGTTCCGGATAATGTTGACAATCTTCTCAGGAACTCCATAGTGTCGAAGAGGTTTCCATAACGTTCTCCTATCTACACTGTCAAGTGCCTTTTTATTATCAATGGAGTTGATGTACAGTGACGAGTTCCACTCAACTGATTGTTCGACGATGATCCGTAGTGTTGCAATTTGGTCTTTGCACGACCGATCCTTACGGAATCCAGCTTGTTGATCTCGAAGTTGGGCGTCTACTGCGTCTTTCATCCGGTTCAGCAGCACTCTGTTAAAGACTTTCCTTGGTATTGACAGTAGAGTAATGCCTCTATAGTTTTCACATTCACTCAGATCTTTCTTTGGAATCTTGATGAGGTGTCCTTCTTTCCAGTTCATCGGCACTTGTTCTTCCTCCCAAATCTTTTTGAATAGAAGGTGAGGCATGTTTGTGTTTACTTTGATGTCTGACTTCAGTGTTTCAGCTGGTATATTGTCGGGTCCTGCTGCTTTCTCGCTCTTGATTCTGATTTCTTCCGTCGTTAGAGGATCGACATCTATAGGAAAATATGTGTGTGCTGCTTCAATGTCCGGTGGATTCATTGAAGCCGGTCTATTCAGGATTTCCTCGAGGTACTCTACCCATTTGTCCTGCTGTTGTTGAGTTTCAGTGATTGGCCTGCCTTCTTTGTTCTTTACCGGTCACTCTGAATTACTATATTTCCCTGATAGTTTCTTCGTTGTATCGTAAAGCTGTCTCATATTTCCTTCTCTTGCAGCTTTTTTCGCCGTCGTTGCTAGTTCTTCCACGTATTTCTGCTTGTCGGCTTTAATGCTCTTCTTCACTTGTTTGTTTGCTTCTATGTGCTCAGTTTGTGCTTGTACCTTCTCTGTTCGTGTTTGGCTGTTGTTAATTGCTGTCTTTTTGTTCTTCCTTTCTTTGATCTTGTCCAGTGTTTCTATAGAGATCCATTCCCTATGATGATGCTTCTTGAGGCCCAGAACCTCTTGACACGTTAAATTTAATGCTTCTTTGATCCCTTTCCAGTTTTCCTTTATAGTAGTTTCTTGTTCCTTCAGTAGATCCTTTAAGACTTGAAACCTGTTTTTGAGAGCTATCTTGAATTTATTGAGTTTGTCAGTATCTCGATGGAAGGTTGTATTGAACCTTTGTAGTGCTGTTTGTCCAGTTGTCCAGTTCTTCTTTAGCTTCCGTTTTAAATTGGCCACAACTAGATGGTGATCTGAAGCTATGTCAGCTCCTCTCCTGTTTCTCACATCTTCCATTGTCCTTCGGAATTTTTTATTGGTGCAAATATGATCTATCTGGTTCTCTGTGGTGTGGTCCGGTGAGATCCGTGTAGCTTTGTGTGGAAATATTGTGCCGCCTATGACCAATTTGTTAAATGCACACAGATTTGCAAATCCTTCCCCATTTTCGTTTCTCTCTCCCATTCCATGTCCTTCCATGATATCTTCATATTCGGTGTTGTCTATTCCGACTTTGGCATTTAGATCTCCCATCAGAATGGTGAGGTCCTTTCTTGGGCACTTCTCTATGATTGATTGCAGCCTCTCATAGAATTGATCTTTAATGTCGTTGCTATCATTGGTGGGTGCATAACATTGGATAATATTCGTTGTGATCCACTCCTTTGTTTTGAATGATGATTTGATGATTCTGGATCCGTGAGATTCCCATCCTACAAGTGCATTTCGTGCTACTTTGGACAGCATTAGAGCGACTTCCTGAGGATGTAGAGCATTTTCCTCTTCGTGACCGGAGTATAGCATCATCTCCTGTATTTAGCCTTTGTTGTCCAGCTTGGGTCCAATGAACTTCGCTGATTCCCAGTACTGCCAAGTTATATCTCCTCATTTCCGTTGCTATTTGACTGGTCTTCCCGGTCTTCCACATTGTCTGTACGTTCCATGTACCTATAAAAATTGTTGCTCTGGTTGTTAGAAGGGACATCGACCTCATGGCTTCCGAAGGAACTCGGCTTTCACCATGAGGCGTCATAGTTCTTCTGAAGACCTTCTAACTCCCAGGGCAGAGTGTAAATGGTTTGAATAATTTTTTCTGGTTAGCCTTTTTTTAGCAATTTGCTTTTCTACAGGGTGGGGCCGCTAACCCCATGTCCAACCCTCCTCCTTTACCCGGTCTTGGAACCGGCAGTAACTCTAGGAAAGCTACAGACGGAGTTATTCGCTTGGTATACCACGTGAATCCAAGGCAGTCCAAAAAATCGGCAGTGGTTGACTAACAGCCAAATCACATGGTTAAAAACTAACAGTACGAATAGAGTGAGAGCTTTGCTTAACACCATATTATTTGGTTAAAATGAAGAATTTCCAACAGAATTCCCTTTTTGTGAGCATTTGACTTATAAATAGCTATAAAGAATAGTATGCACATTTACCAATCGATAAATGGATTGAGCATATTTACTGCTCATATCAAACGTTTTTTGGATTCTTCAATGTTAACCTTCTCTACAGTCTATTCGAAACAAAATATTAAAGAATATCTATAAGTGTTAGTTTTTAGTTAAAAGAAATAATGTTAGCGTGAAAGTAATGCCTTATTCTATTTCAATAGGCCATTTTGTTCTTTTTAAATACCCTGTGTAAACAAAAAGAAAATTGAAATTCCACCATGCAACCACCAATCTTAATCGTGGTTCATCTGATCAATTAAAAATTAGTTTGAATTCCTCAAGGTTATTTACATACTTAAGGAATGATCCAGGTCACTTTGGCAGGAGATGATTTTCATACTTTTTCTGTTGTTTCATTTGAATAACTATTTCGTGCGCCATTTTCACATAATTTCTATTTTCTTTAAAGAAAACTAGGAAATTTAGTTTATATATATACCTTGGGATTTTGGTTGTTGCACGGATTAAATTTAATATGAAACGAAATTTACAGCCCCAGTGAGTACAACGTTATCGCTACATATATTTTTTCTTAATTATTAGCTATTTTATATTTTCGTCTCAACTACTTTTCTTTTGTAGGAGTATACCGATTCTCGATATCCTACAAATGTACAGTTAAAATGTCTATGGGAGAATTGTACATATGTGGCTAATCGTTTAAGGAATCTTTCAAGTCATTTGGATACTCATACTCAAGCCAAACGTGCAGCTTGTCCTACATGTGGTTTATTGCTTGTTGATTTCCGTAAATTAGAAGATCATCTTAAACGCCAGCAAATTCATTTATTAAATAAAAGCACCAACGTAAGTGCTTTTGTGTTATATATATGCTGGTTTATTAATGAGTTCAGTAAAGCAAAAACAAACATCATAGCAAAATAGCATGATTTTATTTATTTTATGAATTACTTTCAGTTGCTTGTAACCTAAGAACAGTAGGATTATTTATCAAAAATAGATTGCTATACTTCATATCACATTTACAGAAAAATCTTCACCAAGACTGTGGTTAACATAAAGATATATTAATAATAAATAATAAATATGAAGCAGTTATAAGAATTTCAGTGGTTGAGATCATGAGTCAATTGAAGCTAAATCACCATGGAAAACCTGGAAGCACTAGGCGGCCGTTTCGTTTTATTGTGGGACTCCCCAACAGTTTGCATCCATGACCCCACCACACGGGATTCGAACCTATCAGTCTCGTGCACGAGCACTTAACCACTAGACAATTGAGCCGGCATCCAACGGTGTTACTGTCTAACTTCAACCAATCCACGAAATTGGGCGACACATCTACTATTGTCATCAGTGGGTTACTGTCTTACAACTGACCCGGTTGAACTCCACTGGTCAATAGGACGAAACGGCCATCCAGTGCTTCCAGGTTTTACATGGTGGTCCAGCTTCAATTGACTCATGATCTCAACTGTTGAGATTACTACAATCTCCACAAAACCCCTTCTGATACTACTTATAAGAATTGTTCATATATTTGATAAATAATAGGTTAACCATGTGAATATTTCGGAAGAGGAAACTGAAAATTAAAGAAAGTGTATAATTTCTGTCGTACTCTCGAATTCCTTATTATTACACAAAATTTGATTATGCATCAGTTATCGTATTCAAACAAAATTATTTTGAAAAATAAATAATCACTTGAAATCTATTCTAGTTTCTTTTTTAAATGTTTATATTTTGACTAACAATTTTAATGTTAAAATTAAATGCATATATTTTGATGATTTTTGCTGGAGAATGTAAGTTTCCAAATACTTCCATCTCTTTCCGATGACATGTAAAACTCATAGCCTTTCTCCATAGTTCTGATATCCTACTTGTAATAAACACCATGCAGTTGTTTCGTTCGTTTAGGCTGGAATCAGTATTTGCATTCAATAACACCCTGAGAAAATAATATCAATGAACATTAACTATACTAACATATAAATGTTATTGAACAAAGATTGAGACTAAATTTTAATTAAAACTTAATAACTTAAACATATACTGATGGATTCCTTCTTCCAACAAAAATATTTCATCAACTACATGGAAGTTACTCTGATGAACCGTGGTCATACTTTAGTAGTATTGTACAAATTGTATTTTTATTGATGAGTTTGCAATCTCTTTGGTCCGTCACACACTCCTAATGCTATAAATGCTAATAAAACTCCAAATATGTATATGTTAGTTTGTAATCACTTATTAAATCATCTACAGTAAATGTAGTATAAAACAAGTCAAAAACTAATAATTTGCACTAAAAAGCTCTATCTCATTTTCGATTATGCGAATTTCTTTTCTTTTACCCATATATATTTCAACGGGATAGTATTGTAATTATGTCCTTGTTTTGTCTGCCCACGAGTCTGTACAGGGAGAAAGTTGTCTCGATCTATTTTACGGCTTGAAAGTGATAGGCCACTTAGTACAACCTTGAGGCTTGTAACACTTCAGTCTGATGTTTGACCGGACGGCTTTAAGGGCAGAGAGTTAGCTATCCCATCACTGACCTGATAGGTTGACAAGTGGAGAGAAGACGATGTAGCTAACACAGTATATCCAGCTTATTCTTGATTTAACCAGCCCAGAGTAAGAACAAAAATAGAAGGCTAACGACACTACAATGCACAGAAAATGAGTAAAATACAATTAGATCCAAACTGATAACATTAGAGTAGAAAAACGGAATACAAGGGTTGCGTTTAAATCGCAGTAATTTTGGAATGGAAAAGAATTCGACAGTAATTTATGCATTAAACAAAAGCTTGTGATTCAAAGAATAAATCAGACTAAATGTTAATACTTCACAAATTTCGAACTAGACGAAGCAATGTTTTGGAAAGCAGCTTTCACTTTTGGTCATTGCTCCTTTATTTCTCTCTTTACAATAGCTATCATCTGCATAAAGTGTTACAATGCCAGTCTCACTATATTGTAAACTCATACTGCTTTCAAGGTTAAATAAATTTCTCTGTCGTATCTCCGCGCAGAAATATTTTAAAATCAGTTAAGCATTTATTAAAAATTAGCACTTCAAAGCTGTATGATTTTGTTTTAGTCTGTTTAGAAATGTATGATCATAACCTAATAATTAAGCTGCTTAACATTATAAGTTAAGACTAATTTGTTGCAAATTAACTGAAGTTGAAGTCAGTCACCGTAACTAGATTCAAAAATTCAACGTATTGTTGTAGAGCCTTAGGTTCTCGGGTTCCCCTTGGTTTGTCATTTTTCTGTTATTCTAAGTAGTCCTAAAACTGAAAACAGTCCATGACTGTCAATATGTATTCGAATAAATTTAAACTGCGATAGGGAACACCTTGATAAAGTGTATCTATAATATTTAGTTATTTAGTGTCTCATATCATTTGTACTAGTGGATTTGTTTCTGTTGTTATATCAATCTACTTCATGAATATTCAGTTTACTTGTTTATATTTATTTCACAGTTTAAGGAGAACTTGCATCATTCGGTCAACCCTGTGAAATGCAGTCGTTGTCGAAAAGTATTCAGTACACAAAGATTATTGATGTCGCACATGAAAAGACATATCAATACAGTGAAATGCCCTTTTTGTGATATGACTGTCTGGAGCAAGTCAGGTATGTATTAAATGTTTTTTCTTAGTAGTTCTTCACACGTAACTTGGACTAATGCGTATTTGTCCCAGGTTCTATGTCCTTTACCTCGTCCTCTCTATTTTGGTGGTGGAATTTCATACATGCTTTTCATTCCACTTTGAAATTGTTTGTATATACTTCTGTGTTTAGTACCTATACCGAAACTGAAAACTACCATCTACTCCCCAAGTATACAGAGTTTTATCCACTGGGATTTTAACTCATAACATGAAGTAGGCGCTTAATATATTGTCCAGAACGACAATAAAAACTTTATAATTTCGTCACATGACTTCGAAAATCCAACATCACCAAAGCATCCACTTAGGCTGGAAGTTTCTATCATCCAAAAAATATATATCTTGAACATCGGTAATTTTCTGTCACTGGGGTGAGTTGCATCCTGTTTTGGAACAAATATTGGATCGTTTCGAGGATTTTACACTATCTGCGTATCTTCAGTAAAAACATATACATCAATAAAGGGTGTTGATTTGGACTGATCAAGGAAATAAGAAGAAGTAACAAAATTTAATCATAATCAGTTACTAGTTCATAAAAATATTAATGTTTTCAAAATGTTTGTAATTTATTGAAGTTTCCAACCACGCAATTGAGTGACATATCATGTCGAGCGAAACAAAACGCGAGGTTATCTGTAGAAACGGTTCTATAGTTACAAAATCATACGAAGTACATTGAAAGCATCAACTTGTGAGATGTCTATGGTATTTACCAAGTTCGCGTATTCAAGAACATGTTACGTCAACAGATGTGCTTTATATTATATGCTCAAATATTATTAGAAACCGAAATGGCTACTGAATATCAGTGGTGTAATTAATATACAAAAAGTGATGGAAAAGAAAGTGAGAAAAGATATTTTAAACGAACCTGACGTTTGGTTATGTAACACCTTTAAAAATGCATCATTCGTAAAACAAGTTTCAGAATCACACATTCAGCAAGTCAATCACTGTACTCAATTAAATTTCACAGTGCAATGAGAAAGACTCTAACCTGTTTTCAATAATAAAGTAGTTCAAGTAATCCACATATACACATTATTATACTGCAAGTTTTGTATAGCTACAATACCAAAATATAGGTTAATATATCCTGTCCTTATTAACAGTACTTTGCAACAGCAAAGCAACTGAATAGTAGTATACCCGTGAAATGGTTTCTTGACTGAGGTCCCTGGATAAATAACGTGCTTATGTAATCGAATATGAAATATTAACCATATCAATTGTAGGAAATCACTGGCGAACTGACTAAAAATACAGGATGTTAAGAAAATAAAATTACTATGTACATTCATAATTTCCTGTTAAGTTGACTTGGATTATGAATTGCGTATTAGATAACAAACAGTTAATCAAGACTTAAAATAACTGTCACAAAGCATCAGTGAAGTCACATTTCTACGCATCATATTATTCTAGTGTTCGGACTATAGCTTCAAAAACCCAAACACTGCAGAACAAGACTGAACAACACCGTTATAAGGAATAATTCAGATAAAAAGCTAGAGATGCATATATGAAAAGACTAATGAGTATTGATTAACTTTTCATTATAGCTTGGAAAAGGATTGGGAAAGTAATCATTCCTTAATTTTATCTACCCAAATAAGTCGTACGTTTCCTTTAGAATTCAATTACTAGCTTCAAAATACTGATCTTAATACAGTATACACTTACCTATTAATGAATTAGTCTAATAATGTGCACTCAATGTTGGTATACTGAAATTTTCACACTCGTAACTTTAATTCGTTTTCTGTCTTTTTGTATTTTAAAAATGAAAAACCTAGCTCTAGAACGTCACATTTTATTTCGACATTCAAATGAGAAGCCACATAAATGTCCATACTGTAATTTTACATTTAAACTTACCAGTTGTTTAACGCGGCATTTAAGTTCTAGACATAAAATTTATGAATCAAATGAAAATGATAAGAAGTCAACTGATCCAGTTGTACCGGATACTACTCAATCTGATTTAGTTGGTAAGGTTTATCCATACTTTTAATGTTGTAGCTGAATTCAGCTTAGTGTATAAAGCTTTTGAATTTTTCAACTACATCTCCACATTTTTTACTACACATCTATTAAATTCGTCAACTAATTTTATTTAACATTGTGTCATCATCTCAAATGCATTTTCACTTAATCTATTAAAATGTTCCAGAGACGTTGTTTGTTTTGAGAAATTAGTAAACGAAACCACCATTCACATATCTAAAATGAATATAAATAAAAATTAAAGCCTATAAATACGATCCGCTTCGAAGCACTGGGGTTACTATGATTCTAATCATGTTACCAATACAGTACTAGCAATAAATAAGTTACCAGCTTAAGGAAGTAGATGCAGAGACTTTTCTTGATAGTTAATCATCGTCCATGTCATGGCTTTGTTTTAAGGAAATAATGTGAATAAACTTAATCTTACTGAACTTTCAGTAATTAGTGGCTTACATTACTCTTTCATTTATTCGATATCTTCTCCAGCTTACTGTCCTTACGTTATTTGTTGGATCCATTTTACTTGGCGATATTTGACTGAAGCCTCTACGTGGTTCTGATACTGTATAGTATTGATAGGAGTTTTAATTAGAACCCTGACTTTAATACTTGCCTGCTTCTAAAATAAAAGTAAACTAGTTAAAAGTGAATAGAGTCGTTTGAGGAAAATAAGGGCACTGAACCACATCGAATGAGCAAGTTATAGTAAACACAATCATCTTCTGTGGCTTAGGTCCAATTATCCCGGAAGTGCCATCTCTATTTTTTCTTATAATCTGTTGTTTGAAAGTGTCTATTAGTTTTTCCAAGGGGAAGTTGCGTGTTGTTGCCGTACGTTTCGTCGATACATGTCTTCGTAAATGATTAGGATACCTCATCCATTTGTCTTTTCTAACCGCCACCTCATACCTTACCTGACATAGTCTTCTTGTCATACACCTCTCTATCCATGTATCATATCTGATCTGTAATCTCAGACAAACACAGGATCCAATTTTAAATGTTAGGGCTTTCAGTAGAATCGTTTTCTCACAGACAGGTTTTCCTCTATATGCTACCCATGAGGACTTCTCTTAGTAGTACGTCGTTTGGTGTAGTTCAATGCACATGTTAAAAATCGTACAGTACATCGACGGGCATCTTCTCCCGAAGGTTTTGACGAAACGTTTAGTCTGCCCACTTGATCGTGTATGTAAGTAGCGACCACACACGGTTTATTGCTTGACAGTAGCGAGACTCTTCGGACTGTTCTGTTGTCAACTGGGACTCATTATCTGATGTTATGGCTCCTGGCAACTCATTACAGCAAAAAATGTTTACCAATGTTTGAAGTGTTTTGTTGATGGACGGTAGTATCACGAAAATAACCTTCAGCCATTCCCAGTAGGTGTCCACCAGCACAAGATACGATACATAGTTTATTGGTGAAATCCAGGACGCATGTCTCATTCTATTTGATACTAGGTGAACCGTCATCCATATTTAGTTCTGGACTCAGTAGCTTTCAATTAAAAAATCAACACGCTATTCAATGAGCTACTGAGTCCAGGTAGCCATTAATGTGTTCAACAGGTATGATGTTCATTAGTAAGGACTTGACTTATTCCGTTTTTGACATTCTGGATTAAAATTCGATCAGCCTTTGTTGGTGTATGTGTATTATTCTTCTCTAAAAACTTGTGACGAAATAGCTATATCGCGACAATCTGTTCAGGATATATAGATGCCAAGAAAAACTAATCAAAACCCAGTCCTGAATATCAACAACAAAATAACTTAACCTCTTACCAATAATGATATAAATTTAACTGTGTTGTTGTGGACTTGTTTTACTGTTAATCTTCGATTATTTAGTACTTAAAGTTATTTCTCTAAGAGTTCTCTGTCTCCAGCTGCTACATATGTATACACTACTGTATCTCGCGTGGTAAATTCAATAAAAGCTTCATACTAAGTTACAATAAAGTTGAAGTTCAATTTTTCTGCACATGTTACTGATAAAGCCACATGACATTCTCAAACTAACATAGTTTTACGGACGGTCATATGTAGCGGTCAATTATGAATCCACGACTTCTCTATATTCTGGTTGGTTTTTTGTCTATATTTAACGTATTAGATTTGCTAACTTACTTAAACACCATTGTTATCTATTTTAATTAACTAGAACTATCTTTTACCCAGCTATAAAATATGATTTTTAAATTATTCTAAGAATAGAAAACAGTTTTAGTCTAGATTCCTTCTTAAAAGAAACCCTACTTAACAGTTGTACTAAAGTATTTTCACAAGGTTTTGTTTTGAGGGATTAATATTTATAAAGTATTTGAAGGAATATTACACAAGACTTAAAAATTGGCACATTAACACTGAATAAAAGTAAGCAAGGAAAATCTTCACTCCAACAAAATCATCTACATAATTTCCTATCTTTATCGGATGATTTGAGAAACATATGGTTATCATCGCAAGAAATCTGAAATTCGTCGTATGGAAGCTTTTTTTGAAAAAAATTATGTTGGTTTATACATGCGATTTTAAACTCCATTAACTTACTTATTTGTCTTACGTAATTTATCTTTAAGGTGAAAAATGGCCTCACTCTGTATCTATTGCTCCAATCCATGGACCATTAGCTCAAGCTGGTGCCTTACCAAATGTTCAAGCAGATATTTCAACTCCTACAAACAATGATACTACTCCTTGTGCAATAGTGGATGTATTTGTCTGTCCTCATAATGGTTGTAATTTCAAAACTAACAAAAGAAATGGTTACCTTGTTCATATTGGTCGTAAACATCATCCACTTCCATCCAATTCATCACTAGAGTCATCATCAGATCGTCCATATAGTACCGATAACTCACCAAATACTTCTCAAGAACGTTTATATAAGTGTCATATGTGCTCTGCTGTTAAACGACGGGGTATGTTGTATTTTTGTTGCATCATACCATATCACCTACTTAAAATAAATGTTTAGAATAATTGAGTTCTAAAATATGACATCCAGTTTTATACCGTAGATAGCCTGGTAATTATCAAAAAAGATGAACTCACAAAGTCTAGTATTTGTCTTTCCTCCAGAAACCAATTTTCATTTCTTAATTCTTTAACTTAAAACATCTTTAGTGTGGACTACCCAATTACATATATCATTGTTTATTGCCCCTCGTCCAATAGCTTTCACTGATACGCTTCATGGAAATGCTTTATCACACAGTAAACCTCTCGATAGTCACAGACTAATCAACTTCTCCGGTTACATTAATTAGTTACGTCCTATTCCGTATTGCTTCCGTCATCCAACTTTACTTATAAATACTAATCTAATTTTCGCTCCCATCCCTAACAAAATATCGGGACAAAAAATACGCAGTCATTTGATCCCATACATGCCCATCATTTTTCTTACTTCTGGGTTGGTTAGTTGCTTTTCCTCCCTTATAAATCATTTTTGAAATGTAGTTTAATGAGTTTTTAAAAAAATAGTTTGTTTCTATACCCTTTCGGTTTTCAAAGCCTTTTTCCATTGTTATGGAAAAATCCGGTACACTGTTATTCACTGATTAGCTTACAGTATAAAATAATCAGTTGGTTTACATTTTATGGTTATAGATCTTGTATTTCCTGTCCGTAGCTGCTATCTTGGCGTAATGGTTGGGTTCGCCTATCATGACAACTCAACCGAGCTTCATTAGCTAAAACGTAGGTTCCTCTAGGTCCTACCATTCTCGGTAGGTCGGCTGAAAAACGGTAAGACTAAGAACAGCAAACTGAGCTCCGAGGACGAAGTCGTAATTCTGACGGTAGAGCAGTGTAACGGCAGTAAGATGTTTCTCTCGGAAAACCAACATCTGAAGTGACTCTGCCTTTTAGCAAAGTAAGGAATGGAAGGGTTAGAGAAGGTCTACTATTAAAACGTCACACCTCGTCTTACTCGACGGATTTCCGTCTCCGGCGGCAAGTTTTTTCGAAGTATGTAGCTAACACATCAAAAGCTTCCGGTGAAAAAACCGTAACTGACCAACCTCAAGCAGTTTTTCCTTAGGCCGTGAGGTCATACTCATGACCTCCTTTTCAGGTCTCGAGAAATTTCCTTAAACGGTGTGGGCATCTGGAAAGTGACAACCGCCTTCATACCGCTAGCAGCATCTGAAATCTTTTTTTTTCACGATCATATCGCTCCAGAAACAAACCTCTAACAGACCTTGTATTGATATTTTAAGGTATGAAATTAAAATTTTGTGCTGATAATTATATGAAATATTGCTTAAATGTAAAGAGATCTAATGTCACTAGCTTATTACACGTAATAATGTTATCTATCATACGATTATTGTTAATATTACTATGATAATGACCACCCTTCAAAGGAGATATAACTGGCAAATTCATAATGACCTCATTTAACTTACTATCCAATCCCATGGATATACATTCATACAAATAGTATCATTTGTGGACTACATGACAGACTGTACCAATCCCAATTTTTCTCCCATCAAACAGTGGTAGCTTAGGAACAAAATACTTGTAAATATCAAATTGCAATTTTATACCATAACGTAAACGAATATCTTGATTTCTCCCCCGTGTAGGCAGCTATGGTCATGTGTTTAGCTTTAGGAAATTCAGCATACGCAGGGCAGTAATGTCCAAAGGAATTGTATGTCGCTTGCTAATTGAGCGAGGCCGTAGTTAATGGATTTATCTTATTTTATAGTACCTCCAAAATAGTGTTACATTGATAGTTATTAACTTACTAAAATAAAAAATGCTTTATTCGATAAATTTTTATGGTAAACTATAGTTTGTGTTTAATAATCTTTTTTCTCATAATATAAAAATATTAACTTTGGCATGATCTCGGATCACTGTTGTGTGGTTCCAGTTTACATTAGTTTGGTCATTTGTCAGGTACCTATTATCAATTTACGTTTGTTATCTATATTTATTGGAGAGCCTCAACTATTTTTGCTTCGTGTATAGTTTGTACTTTTTATTAAATGTCAGCCATCTTTCCCTTTCTACACCTATTATCCGTTGTAGTGTAATATATTTTTCTTGTCATTTGAAAACAGGTAACGAATTATCAAAGCATTTGGTGAAAGATCATCATTTAGCTCGTCCTTCTGGGCATGTCCGTTTTACTTACACTATTTCAGATGATGGGCATTATCGCCTTCAGTTAACTCGTCTTGATACTGTACGTGTTGCTGCTCAACTGCTTGGTGAGACAGTTGTTAGTAAATTACTCGTTGAGACAAGGAATCAACAGTTGCCCATCTGTGAATAAGATTTTTTCTACAATCATTTCAAATATATACCTTTATCACAATCCCTTCCCCATAAGGTTTTACCCACTTTGTACAGGTTCTTCGATTGATATATCCAGACACCTCAATAAACCATGCTTTTAATCTGTTTCATTTAGCTTCTTTATTTTGATGTTTTTGTGTTCAATATAAGGTTTTTTGTCATATATTTAGTTCTATTGTTCACAAAATAGATTAAAGTATTTTCCAATATATTTTAAAATGATAATGAACATATATGTTTTTATTTGTCTTTATATCTAATCTCCAAATGGTTATATCAGAAAATGCAGGCTGTATGCAACAAACGAATTTATCTCATCTTAGTAACATTACTCTGTAACTGATTATAAAGAACTCATATCAGTGATATAGTATACTCAAATGCTGTGCTGTCGGTTTTATCTTTTGAGAGACTGTATAAATGGCATTAACAGAAATTTTCTTAAAATACTTAGTAACCTTATTTACCACCCGAAAAAATGTAGTCTGTTGACAGTCTTCTGTTGCATATTTTATTTGTTATCAATAGATTCATCTTAAATAGCACTTGTGATAACTTTAAAACATATTTTATGTTTCATGTAATAAACTTGGATGAACACTTTAATCATTGTGTATATAGCTAGTCGGGAAAAGTTTTTCAGTACACAACTGTAGTTAACTTCGCCTTTGGTATATTATTGGGCGAAAGCGTTATATATGCCTAGTCCTAAACGAAATCACAAATCAAGTTCAGTAGCCACCGTTGAACTCAATTATTTTGATTAACTGTTTAAGCATGTAGTAAATTATTGGTATCTTCACCATTTTGACGTTCATGTTTTATTCTTGGCTGGAATAAAAGTGAGTAAGAACAATGTAAAAAAAAAACTTAACTATGAGTTTAATGTACACCTGAAGGGGTATACTTTTCTGATGTAGTGGTATTTTTCTGCACACTAATATGTCGAGCAGGGTGACGTAGTGTGATGTCTGTGCATATTGATGATTGCGTTCAAGTGTCCCGGTACATCCGAGGGCGAGGATGATCAGGGAAGTTCTACTAACTGCCTTATCACGGCAGGGGTGTTGTTTACGAATTTGAAAGGAAGTAAAACGAATACCCGGCACCACCTAGGGGAGTTTGAAAACCCTGGTTCCGAACCAATGATGTACATGGGCTCCGGGATTCTGAGGGAATAAATGGCATGCGAACCAATTACTGGTCACCGGCTCCCTTGAGACTGCATCTCCTGACGTTGCTCCACTGCCTCGTGGATCAAACCTCTGGATGTCGCCCCCTAAGAAAACCACCTGTTTCGATCTGGGAACCCGGGCAGTATCATAGTGCTCCGATAAATTGATCGATTTACATATTTGTTGCCTCGTTGTACCAATGTTTCTGCGTTAAAATAATTATATAATTAACAGCCGATTGTCTAACCACTCAACTGGATTAATTCTAGTCAGTTTTTATGGTTATTTGTGGATGCATATACCTCGTAGGTACAGTGAGTGCATTTGTTTTCGGGTAGTAAGGTTTCAAAATACCAGCAGTTATCACATCTCTAGTCAGAAGATTGACTAGTTGCAATGGTAAATTAATAACTGGATTATTTAGATGCTAAGAGAGGAAAAATCTCACAAGAAACCAATAAATAAGTAAATTAATTAGCACTGTAGACAGTGTGATATCAAAGTGTAAGAATAAAAGAGGATTCGTAGGTGATCGTAAGCGAGCTAAGAAGTAGCTACTGAATAACAACTGTAGTGTGTTTCAACCATAGCTACTCCGAGAAGGTAGTGGTAATCCATGGGTGAGTACGTGTTTGTCAAGTCTTCTCTTAAATTTATCTCCTGAGTGGGTTGCGGTTCATGTATTCCCTCATTTTTTCAAAGACAAGTTCTTCCTTAACCATCGGCGTCTGTAACAGGCTAAATCTTGTTTTCTTCCCTTTGGGAAATTGGAGAGCGTAACCTAGTTCCTTTCTCTTGGGAGTCGGCGTGACTCTAGTGAGTGTCTTAAGAGGTCACACACTGGTATCTTGATGGGTTCTATGAATTGCTTTACGAATACAAGGCTGACATCTTGACCTGCCGATTTTCTTGGGTGAAAGAATTTTAGTTTTATTAGTGCGAACACCGGAGTTGGTTAGAAATTTCACAGACCCTCAAGTCGAACTACAGTTGGGAAGTGATTCGCACTTATATGTTCCTGGCTTGACTGGTTTATAAAGTTGACATGGCGAATCTAAGTTTTCTTTAAGTTAGTATGATTGCCGTCTGGTTCTTTAAGACCTTCTGGTTTAAAGGCTATTTCTTATTCAAAAATCTGTAAAGATATTTGGGGTTAGCTCACTGTTTGACCGCTAGCTTGACCTAGAAATATCTCCTATCGCTCCCAACTATTGTGTTAATTTGTTTCTTAGTTCCAAATGAGGACTCTGGTCTGAATACTACAGAGACGCTTTTCACTTGCGCCAGGCTCTTCTTCAGCGTTTAGTTGATGTTCTGTCCTTCACTTGACCCAGAATCCTTTCTTTTCTTTTGCGTATTGTACCTGAGGTACATTGTGTAGAATAGCATTCTGGATGATAGTCTTCACTATCTCTTAGCTGTCACCAACTGTTAACATGTGGTGGAATTGGACCATAACCACACGATCCTCAAAGCTGAATACGAGTTTACTCGGAAAATAGATATTCAATATTTAACGCGAAGAAATACCTAACGATGGAGGAGGCGCGAATAATGAATTGAATGAATGAGAGTTGATTGGATGGCATGGCTCGGCCATGCAGGCGTGGTCCCTCTGAATGTTACCTTATATCTTCTATTCATATTAAATATATTGTTCCTTCTCTAGCCCAGCCTTGTTCTACATCATGTATTGGTAATTGATACGATACAGTGAGTTGGTGTAGTCGATGGTGTGACTTCCACGTAAGATCTTATAGAATAGGCAGTTATATCATGACAAATCTACAATTTTAGGATTAGGTCTATTATTAGAGCAGTACTAATATCATAGTAGACCATAATTCTACAAGCTTTCATCGATCTCATGGGGATGGAGCATGTTCAAGGTGCCTCCTTACGGTTGTGTAGCAATCTTTACTGTGACGAAGATAAGGATCTTCCTCATCTATCTGAAGTACTACATTTGCGATCACAATAATTATGACTGTACTTTCTACTGGTGCGTGTGTAAATGAACATCCTCGAGTAGAAGCTGATCATTTGTCAGCAAATTATCTAAGTTTGAGGGTTTTTCATTTCTATCCTACCTCGTAGCGCCACCCATATGTTCGAACAGTCCTAAACTTATAAGGTTGTGGCAGATTGCTTATGGAATCGCATGAATGGGTTGTATTTAGCTTGTTGTGACTTAGGATCGGGGTGTTGAAGTCTTCAGCTAGTAGCATTTGATCAAACTCCACATGTGGTAGTTTTAAATTCCCTTGGATTATCTCATTGGTTTGTGGTATATTTGCGCGACCGTCGAATTCCTTTAATCAGGTACTTCGTGTTGTCAGCATTGAAGCAACAGCAGCATGATCCTATCGCCTCGGTTGATCTGATACTAAGAGTTGTTATGAATTGGAAACGACGGTTAATGTACATCACTACTCCACCTGTTTTGTACACTCTATCGTAACTGAAACGTATCCTGCCCTGCAAGCTCACTTCCTCACCTATGATGTCGGGTGATAGCCATATTTCAGTTAGAACCATGGGATCTAACTAAAAGTTTATGTTTCTGATCCCTCCTAGTTTGCCCTTTAGTACTCTTAGGCACTTGATAGTTTGTCCCGCCACTTAGTGCTCCTCTACAGCAGCAACTGTTTTCAAACGTTTTGAGCAAATTTTTTTAACGTGGGTTTCCTCATTTCCGTGCGTAATGGCCGTTATAGATATTTTTACCTTTATAGCACGTTTTATTAACGAGACCGTGGTCCTTATGTCCTGGTTCCCTGGTTGTTCATCAAGGTTAGTCAACACTAATGTTTGTGCTTGTATGCTTTCATTTCCGTCGTCTTACTGATCTAGGTCAGCTCTCACAACAACTAGAGTGACTGGAGAAGTAATTCTTCGAGATGTGGCAGGTCCATAGGCCTCAATTATGCACCCTCGGTTCCTGAAGCTCACTTAACGGCCAAGAGACGTACCGAAGTAGATGATCTGATACGCTAATCATCATGGTGGGGAGGCCTTTATTACGTGGTAGTCAACGCAACCGTTGTGGTTAGTGTCTACGGACTTCGTTCCCATTGCCACTCATCAGCTCAGGGACCCGGCGAAACATCAAACTGACTGCCTCTTCAATGTTTGCTGATCTTCTAGCGGAAAACTTTGCAGCCCAAGTTTTATCGTGTCTAAATTAGACATAAGCGGATGGCTTGACCGATGATCTCTGAGATATCAGTTGGATTTCTTCCGCAATTCGTACTCAACCTAAGTTTGCTCCTAGTGGAGGGGGTTTGGTTTTCGTAACATTTCGAACTTTATGCAAGTGGCATAGTTTACCTGGATCGGTATCATTCCCCTGCACTGCACTGTATTTGTCCTACCGTCTTTCATGAAAAGCTGCCTTACTTTCTAATACGCTGCTCCTCGAAACCGCGTTACTAAATGAAATCAAATAGTTTTGTCGAACGTCTTTGTCATCGACTTTTAGCGTTTTGGAAACTAATCTATCATTGTGTCCTTTTCTAACGCATACTCACCGCTCTTTATTGTTAGAGGATACTGAATGAAATAGCAGTAGTCAAGATCTTCTTTGGCGTGTGAGCTCGGGTTTTGGCTTCCATAGTCTCTTGTTAGCCAAATCAGTGTGTTTTTGGCAATAAAGGCATACGTATCAGAACAAAGAACAGGGATGACCGAATATGAATCCGTTGTAGTGCTTAGGTACCGCAGTATCACAATAACATTAGACCCAGTTACTACAAGAGTTGCTTTCAAATGCTTAGTCGCGTGTTTCAATGAGTGATGAGGATGCGACACAATCAATGCTTTCGTTTTGTTTCAGTAGACAGCGTAGAGGGAAGTCTGGAATATCATTCTCTCGTACTTCGTATTTACTAGGTCTTGCAGGGAGTGTGAAACTGGATAGGGATTTGATCGTGATCACTTAGGCGTCTGAATTGAGTGATCTATATCCCACACATTACTCTGGTATTTTATCTAGTGTCGTCTTGACATTTTTACAATCCTTTCTCTAGAAACGGGGACTTTAGAATTGAGTTTAAGCCCCCAATTAAGACCTCTACCGCTGCCAGTTGTCCTTGTAGATTTAAGGTAATTACTGGTGGCAACGCATAAAGATTACAACATATATTTTTCTTATTATTAATAATTCCAGAAGCTCCATTTACTTGGTTATTCATAGTAATATGACCATGTGGTTTCTCTGCTTAATATTTTACTCAACGTTGGAAAGTGTTAGGTATGAAGTGGTTCTCATATGCTTATATGGGATCTACTTGCTAGTATTTGTGCTCTAAATGATGAATCATCTAGCACCTCGACAATGTGCACGTTTGAACAGTGGAGGGCATGATGATTCGCATGATTTTTTAAAGATGGGTGGCGTAGCAACTGCTGAAGGATAACTGAAGACAT